TTGAAATTTACCTTAGAGTATCTGTATCTCAAAAGCTTTGGTGCATAATAATGAAATAATATAAAACGGTATATACATCAGCGAAAGTTGCTTTTGCAATTGATAAGTCAGACATAGAATTTTGTTTCAATAAAAAATTATTGGGTACCCTACAGAGTTCTCTCTAGGAATAAAAAAGGATAGAGCGCTTCCTCTCAAAAAAAAGTACTTTGAGTTTTGAAAGGGCACTCACTTAACACCGTAAAAATTTATCACACTGTGTAATATTATGTAATAACTGAATTTTATCCTCAGCAATTTTTAAATTATTTTCTAATACTATTTTTGTGTATGTTTAAAAGTAGTTCTCGCTCATTATCAAAATAAGAAAAAAAATTTTAGTTTATAAAAATAATAAAAGGCATGCTAAAAGACAATATTTGTGCATAAAGTTTTTTCAAAAAAAGTTACCAAAAAAAAAAGGAGATTAATTGATAAACAACTTGAAAGCTTCTTTTTACAATTTAAAATAAAAATTATGAGAAAATTAACATTTAAAAGTGCATTTATATATATATAAAAAAAGGATTTTTATTTAAAAAATAATTTTGAAATATTTAAAATCACTTAAATTTGTTAATATCCTCCTCCGAAAAAAAGAGATACTTGTAAATATTTAACCAATTGAGAATAATCCTAACAAAGTAAATATTTATAACAGTAATCAGAATTGAACCTATAAACACAGATAATTTTACCTGGGTGTAATTATTATTTAAACAATGAGTTAATTTTTTTAAAAATGGAATATGAATAAAAAGGCAATGTTTTCAAAAGAAGCAGCTTGCTTTTACAAAAAGGTGTATAAGAGGGTGCATTTATTGGGATCAAGCCATCTTTTTAAAAACTCTTAAGGAGAACACTGCCTTCAATCAGCTAAGGGAATCAGAATCAGCTATTGTAGATAACATATACCCAAATTAGTCTCTTAAAAAGAAAATAGCTTTTTCAATTTTTTATGTAGCAAATTAACAATGGTTAGTAAATGAATAGTTAATAATCATTATTTAAAAAAGGTTTTCCTTCATTAAATATAAGGCTATTACTCAATCAAATAATTTATATTAAAAAATATGTAGTTATAATAAAATGTTGACAGTTAAAGCAAAAATATTGTTTTAGACTAACATAGCAGTTACAGCCGATGGTTCAGGGGATACAGCGTTCGACTTCCAATGAGCCGAGCCGGGTTCGAATCCCAGTCGATACGAATTCCGCATCCGGCTTGCACCGACCACAGTGCTGACATGAAACATCCTCAGTGGTAGACGGATCATGGGTTAGAGTCCACTTGCCTTTAGGCTAACCGTGGGAGGTTCTCGTGGTCTTCCTCTCCATGTAACGCACATGCAGGTCAGCTCCATCAAAAATTCCTCCACGAAGGCAAATTTCTCCCACTACTTGATCCAGGAGTTCCCTTGTCCTCTGGATTGGGTTCAAAGTTACAAGGCTACAGAGTGGAACATTAGTAGTTGTAAACCCATTAAATTGGGTCGGCTGTTCAAAGACGGTTATAAAAAAAATATATAAACATAGCAGTTAGTTTATATAATTTCTTTAATCCAGCTGAAGATATCAAAAGATAATTTTCCAAATTTATTATCCAAGCAAAATATATTTTACTTATTCAATACAAAATAAGCCAAAGGAATGAGATATTTGAAGTCTTAATTAAAAGTATATGTTTATATTAACTTTTAATTATTTACAATTAGGGGTTCAGTACCTGCGACCCTCCGACGGTTGACGGGCTGCCAGCGAGAGCTTCTGATCGTAATGGAATTTTAGTTTTAGAAGAATAAAAAAAAAAGTGAAAATTTTGACTTGCACATTTAAATCATCACTTTTTAATGAGCTCAATGTGGGAGTACTGATTTTATCGCTTTTTCATTGGTTATTGATACGAAATTCCTTCTGGTTTTAAAAAAAAATCCTATATTTTTAATACAATATTACAATGCACAAATTTTGAACAATTATTTCCGATTTCATCATAAATCCAAGTGACGTTTAGATCGTTTTTTGACATTTATAACTACCAATTTCCGTGAGGTTTATTACTCCCGATACATTTATCACGACTCGTGAGTTATAAATTGGACAACTGACCACTTCTTAACGTACTTTATTTGTGCCAATTTCATTCTTTTTCAAAGTAAATTTTCCCAGAAGTCAAGCATCACTGCCTGCGGTCAGTGCGCGGGTGGGTGACCACTTGGATCAGTCTGCGTAGGGACCGAGGGTGTGCGGTATCGGTTCTCGTTAAACTGTTCTACCGTAAAGTGCTCGACTTCGCGTGCAGGTCGTCGGGCTACTGAAGCGGGAGTGCCATCCCCTCTGCAGAGGATCAAAATTGTGATGGCATGTCTTCGGATCATCCT